TCTTCCTCTGGAGAATTATTTTGTTCTTTCATTTGGGGCATGCTGAATTACCTGCAGTTCTGTCATCATGCCACACTCTCAGGCTTCCACACCTTTATGTGCACTGTGTCCCCTTTTAGAATGCCTCCACTTCATTCTTCACCAGCATGCTTTATATTTATCTTTAAGACTCAGTTGAACCATCACCTCTTTTAGAAAAACTTTTTAAATCATTGCTCTAATATTCCATATCTTGCCATAGCCCCTGTATTTACCTCTGTAATTGTTGATATTTACTTGCCTATCTTAAGAGCAGAAACGAGGACTGTATTTGCTGTATCCCCGGTACCTAACATAGTACCAGGCACCTAGCAGGCCCCAAATAAATATTTACCAAATAAAGCACCAATCTCTCTTGTATGGGAATGCCAAACTACAGTTCTTTAAAAACCTACAGTCTAAGTTTATGGTCTAAAAAAACCACAAGAGATACAAGAATATTTCTCTCTTAAAAATATATATGATATTCTATTATACAAAATAATGTAGTTTTAAAAGGAAATATAGCCCAAATGCATAGTTATCTCAACTCCATTTTAGAAATAATGTATATAATTATGAATAACTTTTTAATTGCATATGTTACTTTTAAGAGAAGGATAAGAGAGAATAACATTTGTGGCCTAAAAATTATGTGTATCACACCAAAACATTCTCTACTCATTCCAAAAATGTTCTCGTTAGTTATAAAAACTAATTTTTTTTTAAAATCCTCACCCAAGGATATTTTTTTTTTTATTGACTTTGAGAGAGAGGGGAAGGAGGAGGGAGAGAGAGAGAAACATCTATGTGAGAGAGAAACATCAATCAGTTGTCTCCCTTACATGCCCTGACGAGGGATCAAATCCGCAACCTAGGTTTGTGCCCTGACCAGAAACTGAACCCACAACGTTTTTTTTGATGTACAGGACAATGCTCAACCAACTGAGCCACCAGGCCAGAGCTATAAAAACTAATTTTTAAAAAATATGTTTTCATTGATTTTTAGAGAGAAAGGAAAGGAGAGGGATAGAGAGACGGAAACATCAATGTGAGAAACATCAATCAGCTGCCTCCTGCATGCCCCCTACTGGGGATAGAGCTTGAAACCCAGGCATGAGCCCTGACTGGTAATCCAACCGGTGACCTCTTAGTTCATGGATCGTTGTTCAACCACTTAGACACACGAGCCGGGCTATAAAAACCAATGTTAAAAAATACTTTCTTTTAGCTCAATTCAATAAAAACCATTTTTTCCAAAAAGTCAATAAATTAAACGCTCAAATCAATTTATGTTTGTAGATGCTGCCTAAATCATTCCACTTTATATCAAGTTGTTTAAAACAGGCCCTATATAAGAAAGTAAATGTTAAGATCAATTGACAGAGTCAGAGCCTTTGCATCTTCTTATTCTACCACACACATTAATGGAGCTCAAATTATAATAATAAATGTTATTTTAATAGAAGAGCTGACTTATTAACCACTCCTGTCAAAGTACCATATATGGACTCCCATAGCCAGGCCACTGATTTAATATACAAGGTAGAGAGGCAAAAGGCTGGTTTACATGGAAGAAAGGAAAATATAGTTACAGCTCTCTTAATATTGAAGACTTGTTCAAGCTACTTCTTTAAAAAAAAAACACTTGATAACAGCTTTATTATCTGAAGATAAAAACAAGTCTTAAAATTCAGTTGTGTTCAGTCTTGTGATCCATCAATATTTTATCCTTTTGCCACAAAATTTGATGACAAATTTTAGAAGCAAAATGCTAACAATGAACCAAAGGACACCTTTCATATATGCTGAAAATATCTGCTTAACCTTACTTAACAAGTTGTTTTTCATAGAACTGTATGAAAATAATTTTGAGAGCTGTGACTGTATGTCTAATAAACCACTTTAGTTTTATATTTAAGTACAAATATTTCTACAATAGTTTTTAAAAAGAAAAATATGGTCAGCTCTCTGTATCCAGGAGTTCCACATTTGCAGATTCAACCAACCAGGATTGAAATAAAAAAATCAAAAAATAAATACTTGGGGGAAAAAATGTTATGTTGTTGCTAATATGTACCATGTAGTTAGGCCTCCGATGGTTGCTTCTATACCTAACATGTACAGCATTTCTGCCTTGTCATTATTCCCTAAGCAACACAGTAACAGCTATTTACACAGCATTTACACTGTATTAAGTATTATATGTATTTTAGAGATGATTTAAAGTATACAGGAAGATTATATGCATAACCAATGGACACAGACAACAATGTGGCGAAGGCCTGGGGTGGGGCAGGGGCTGGGGGGAGGAGAGTAAAGAGGTTGACATATGCATTCTAGAATAGTAAAGGAAGGGACTGATCTCTTCAGAGAGTTTTTTCAACAACAGTAACAAAGATCTAGATATAAAGTCAGGCTTCAGAACTGAAATGAAGGAAAGCATATGACAGAAAATGAGTAATTTTTGGATAAATAGGGTAGCCATTAGCTTTTCTCACCCTGAACTAAAAATTTTTTAGTTACTACTCAAATCAATAAAATTACAGAAAATAGGTTTTTAGAGTTTCAAGTAAACAAATCCATAATTTCTAGTAAAAAGGAAAACCTATTAAAACACGCCAATACACACTACACCCTCGAGTGGGCAAGCATCCATGGAAAAATATAAAAAGATTTAGTTGGATTTTCCACTCAGTTAAATCAGTCCTATAACTAATGAAATGATGGCTCTAAAACCTCAAAGTTCATATTATTTTAATCACTTACTATCTGAGTTAGAAGAAGTAAAGATTTTTTAAAAATAACAATTGAGATCTTACAGAGGAGTAATGTAAGAAATAAAATCATGATCTGCTTATATTTCCTTAAAAAACAAAGTGTTATGAGATTCTTATTTCTTTAACTTATAAGGGAAAAAGGTAAAGAAAATAAATCACATATAAAGATGTATAATTAAAAGATGAAGTATCCTTTATATCATGAACTGCAAAGGCAGCACTAATATTTTAAAGCAAAATATAAGAATTATGGTTCCTTAGTGAGAACTGTGGCAGAAAAGCACTATGTTCATTAAGTTTTTCAGGAAAACAACTTACATTATCACCTGGTAATATTTAGTATTACTGGTCTCATGAGGCTATGTGGTCACTACACAGAAATATAAACACACTTAGAATAAAATTAAGACACTACCTAAAAGAGCCCTTATTCTATATGGCTAATGTTTTAGCACTTAAAAAATATCACAGAAGCAAAGACTAGATTAAAAGTATTCCACAATGATCCAAATGTCACATAAAGTTTCTCCAATTTACAACAGAATACAAAACATATATTTAACAAATAAATCCAGAAATCATGTATAAGATGTACATTTCCAAAAATGTATCAAAGAATTTTTTATATATATTCTCTAAGAAAAACTAGTACAACCTTATAAGACGACTTCAGTTCTCGAGCTTACTAAGAAGCGAGACTTATAATTAAAGGACAACAGTGACACCTAGCGACCATTTCAAACATATACCATGCACATCTTCAACCAAAACTTCATTTCCAGTGCTCCACATACTCCAACCTGCCTAAGGAATTATAGCGCAAATCTTTAGTTTTAAACCAAAACAAGGTGACTCTGCTCCCAAACAGTTTCTCAAGACGCTGACCCATTCATGTGATAAATACAAAATGTAGAGACAGGGTTTTAATATAAACATTAAGTCAAATAAGAGTCCAGGCCACAAATTAACTGAAAGTCTTTCAAAATCATAGGTGCTTCCCAGATCTCTCAGAACCAATGAATTTAAAAACTTTTAATGATTATTTGAGCTCAATGATTGTTCTGACAAGAAACAATGCTAAGGTCCAGAACTTCACAAGTATACAATTCAAAATCATTGAAAATATCTCTCAAATGTAAATATTTTAAAACTAAAAAAATTCAGGTCATAAAACCACTGTTCTAATAGCTTCAAAAAGATATACAGAGGAAAAATAAGCTATGGTATATCCAAACAATGAACTACAACTCAGGAATAAAACAGAATGAAGTAATGATACATGCAACAACGTGGATGAATCCAAAAAAATTTGGCTGAGTAAAAGAAGCCTTACATAAAAGTTACACCCTGTTTGATTCCACTTATATGACATTCTATCTAGAATAAGCAAAATGATCTATGGAATGAATACATACATACACACACACACACACAAAATCAGAACAACAGTTACCTCTGAGGGCAAAATGGAGATGGAGATTGGGAAAGGACATGAGGGAATTTTCTGGGGTAATGGAATTGTTTTATATCTTAATAGGAGTTGTTGTTACACAGATGTATGCATTTGTTAAAACTTACCAAATAATATACTTAAGATATGAGCAAAATTTATATAAATTTTACCTTAAAAAATGAACCTAAGCAAATATTAATAACTCCAGGTATCATGCATCATGCTGAAGTATTTGTGGTGATATGTACAGATACCTTCAACTTACTCTGATATTTTGATATCCATATAAAAATTAGATGGATTAATAGATTATAATAAAGCAAATATAACAAAACATTAGCAATTATAGAATCTAAGAGGTAAACATATTAGAATTCACTATAAAATTCTTCCTCTTTTCTGTATGTCTGAAAATTTCCATAATGAAATATTGGGAATAAAAGTGACAGAATTCAAAAGAAAATTTAAAATATTATAATAAATTAAAAATGTTTTCTTAAATAGCAACAATTTTACTTTATATACAGGGGTGGGCAAAAATAAGTTTACAATTATGAGTAAATGAAACAGAGTTTATTCTTATATTATTATCTATTTATTATTGTATTATTTTCCATACAAATGACTGTTTTTCTACTTTTACCCACCTCTGTATTAACATTTTAATCTCTCTGAGTGTCAAGTATGACCATCTTCTAAAGAGCACGACTTATAGGATAACATATATATTTTAAAATTTGAAAACATACCCGAATTTCTTGAAGGTTGTGGAAATTATTTCCTACTCTGACTGAGATTTTGCTTGGAGTATAACTTTCATCAGATTTGTAGTCCGCATAAATACATAATGTCTTCACCGTTGTTTTTCTCCTAAAAACAGTAAAATAAAAACATGACCTTTATCATATGGAAAGATTTTATCCAAAACATCTTATCTTCTGATTTTAAAAATCATTGTTTGCTAAAATGAGTATTTAAATCAACAATTCCAGTGTTCTTTACTTTTAACAATGATTTAAGAATATGTAAAAAACATAGATACACATTTTACTTATATAGACATCGCTTATTTAGAACAAGGTCACGAACAAGATGTGAGCAAAGGAACAGTTAAACCAAAATAGGCACCTTAGAGCATAAGCAAGCGCAGAGGACTTTAGTTCTCCTTCGTATTTCAGACAAAAAGGTTACTCTAACAAGCATAGCTTTCTTCAGTAGTTAATTACTTAATTTCCTATGTTAATACTTGAAAATAGCTAAGTGACAAAATAAGTCTAGCAAAAAGAAAACATTTTTTTTTAAAAATAAAAAGTATAATTTATTCCTTAATGCAAAAAATAAAATTCTATTTTAAAAGTATACATATTTAAAAAGGTAAGCAAAGACTGACTATATAACAGAAAATCTCAGAAAAATGCAAGTGACTAAAAAACATAAAAATACATTGAAATTCTAATAACCAAAGAAATAGAATTTAAAGCACACATAGACATCAGTTTTGTTATTATATTGCAAAATAGTAAAATGATTGATAAAACCCAAATTTGATTAGAAAAAGGTACTTGCATAGCCAGTCAGTATGTACACAGCCTTTGACCCACAAATTCAACTTCTACGAATGCACTAAAAAACAATACAGCTAAGATGCAAATATCCATCTTAATAGGGTATTAAGTAAATTATATCTATTCAATGATACACTATACGACTATTTAAAATAATCACACAGAGTTAGATAGAAAAAAAATGGATTACAAAACAGTATATACAAAAAGACTGAATTCTGGGGAAAGCAAAATATTTTGAAGGCATATAAACATATATATATATGTACAGAAAAATAATTACATAAAATCATACAAAAATGGAAAGAGTGGCTATTTTGGTGGGGTGCAACTATGGGAGATATTTATTTTCTTCTATATGTTGTTTTTTTCAAATTCTTTACAATAAGCATGTTATTTTGGTCATTAGAAAAAAAAATAGACAATTTTAAACATCAACCCCCCCCCAAAAAAACCACTAAGAAGTCCATTTAAACATGCTTTAAAAGTTAAGTTCTGGTATAAACTGGCACTAACTTAACAACAATGAGCTCCTTGAACAGAAGTAGTCTGTGTCAAAAGTCAACCTATAAAAACAGCAGGGGATCTTCAGCTCTTAGTGAGGGGACCAAACTTCTGTAGACCAAGCTATTCATCAGAAAGAAATGGGGAAAGTTAAGGACTTTCCCTCAAATAAAAAAGACAGATGAAGATGTAAAATGCTAAATACCCAAGAACTGCTGACAGGATAAATACCATTACCAGGTTTTCAAAAGAGGCCAGAGGTATCAAACTGACATCTTTCTATTTCTGCAGGGCCAGGAAGGAATATGAGAGGAAGCGAAGGAAGAAGGTGAAATTCTGAAGGGCACACAAAAGATCTTTTCCCTGATGAGCCATAAGCAGGCAGTGAAAGGTCTCTCTTATTACAGAAAGATCAAAGATCATGACTATTACTCATAAGGACTTCTTTTTTTTAATGAAAGCAGATTTAAAGGACCAAGCTTTTTGCTCAGAATAATTTTATCTCCAAGTTAAATTCAGAATAACTTAAGCACTGGGACCTACAAGATAATCAGGGTGAGGTTAGAAAGGCAAAGAATAACAATACTAATCAGTGTAAAAAACAACAGCAACAGCAGCAAACAGCAAGTGAATACTCTGTACCTGGCCCAGAAGTAATAGTTTACATGTATTATCTTATTTACTCCTCAACCTTGTGACATAGGAGCTACCTGTATTATCACTTTCATTTCACTGATTAAAAAAACAAACAATAATACTCAGGTTAATAATTGGTTAAGGTCAAAAAGCTAGTAGGTGAGCATTGTAAGAGTTCAAACATGTGTCTGTCTACCTCACACAATCTTAAACTATCACCTTCCTATTAATTGTAGTTATTAAACAGTCACTGACACCAGTCTACAATAATATATGTTAAGTATTTATACTTCTTTAACTTTTATCTACAACATAGGATGTTATCCTAAGGTCCATGTATCCCCAGAAATCATATGTATAATTTATGCTATATACATTGATTCATTAAATGTGCAAAGGAAACTGACATCACCAAAAGTTTAAAACTATTACTCTAAAAGGTACCCATAAAGCCTTTTAAAATTATTTATAAATTTATCTCATGGTGAATTTAAAATAGCAGTGCATGTGGGAAGATTAGTGCACAGATTATGAGAAATACTATCAGCCACTCAAATTGCTCAAATCACCATTATAATAATAATCACCATAAACTGAATGCTTTCTATATGCCAGACACCCTGCTGAACTCCTAGGAAAAGGCACTGGAGGAAGGGAGAAGGAGACCAGTAACCCTTTCCCATTTCTGATGACATAAGTAACACTCCCAGCCTCTCTCTATTGCCTCACCCAACTCCCTCTCTGCTGAGAAAGAGCTGCAGGCAGGAAGCAAACATTTGCTTTGTTCCTTCCTGCCACAAATATAAGGGCAGGCCCTACTCAGTCTAGCACTTTCATAACTGGATGGGTAAGTCTGTGTAATTCTAAGGTTCAATATTAGGAAAAAACACTTGACTGCAGATATAAGCCCCTTCCTCAAACATCAGCTTTCTCAGTTTTATAAGAATGATATTTTGGTCTCCACCTGCTGATTCTTGAATAATTTCTCAACTGATTTGGAACCCATGAAATTTCAACAGAAGACACTAGTGACAGATACTCCTAACAGCCCCCTTTCCCTTTTATCTTTATAACATCTCGCTAAAAGATTATATTCCACGGCTTCCCTTAAGGATAGGTATGACCATGAGACTAAGTTATAACTAGTAGGATGTACACCAAATGATTGAGTGACATAAAGAAAGTTTCTTTAAGAGGAAGGCACACCCCTTACCTTTCCCACCTACTCCTTCCTGCTGCCTGGAGGGCAGAACCCGTGAGCCAAGAACGGTGGAACGAAGAGGGAAAGAGCCTGGTTCCACAAGACACTGTGCGGCCGCCATACACTCTGGAACTGCCAGGCTCCAGGCTCCTCTTATATGAAGAGGCACAAGAAATAAGTTTCCACCTTGTTTAAAACACTGTTATTAAAACCTCTGTTACTAGAAGTTCTCATTCCTATTTAATATAGCATATTATGCCCACATTACAGATAAGGAAACTGAAGCTCAGATCAAGTTAAGCAACTAGTCCTCATTTACACATCTAGTAAAGCACAGAGCCAGATTTTGTTTTAAATATTTTTATTGATTTCAGAGAGAGGAAAGGAAAGGGAGAGAGAAATAGAAGCATCAATAATAAGAGTCATTGATTGGCTGCCTCCTGTACATCCCCTACTGGGGATCCAGCCAGCAACCCGGGGATGTGACCTGACCGGGAATCGAACCATGATCTCCTAGTTCATAGCTTGACACTCAACCACTGAGGCACACCAGCCAGGAGCAGAGCCAGATTTTGTAGTCTGTATGACTATAGGATATTAAGAGTAACTCTAAACTCTTGAGGTACAAGACTTACAACTAAAAAACAAAATAGTTATAAAATTGTTTATAATTTCCTGTTAACATGCTAGATATATTATTACCAAGAGACTGAGACATAAAAGAAACAGAAAATCTGCATACTTTCCTAAAACAAAAAGCTAACTAATTTATATACATAAAATGAGCACACTCTTCTTTGTTCCTGGTATAAGTAGACAACTCCCTCTCTGTGTGAAAGTTTGTTTCTAATCAATGCTATCAGGATGTCAAAGTGAAAGTTTTTTCTGAAGACTAATTCAACAAAGACCATGTTTTAACAGAATATACAAGACCTTAATGCAAATTTTTCAGCAGATACGGTTAAAAACAAAAACATAACAAACAACAAGTCAGGAATGCTTCCCTATGAAGAAATAACTGTTACAGGGCTTGCTCTTCTACCACAAACAACTAGAGTAAACAGACAACATACATGGAAAACTGTCTGCAGACACTAAACAACAGGTAGGGCAGGACCATGAGTCCTGAGAGAAAGGAAACGAATGAGGTGAGCCCTGTGAAAAACCAATCTGGTAGTCTCTCAGAGTTGAGGAAGGAGCTATACTGAGGGCAAACTCCAGAAATCCACATGGAGTTCCCTTGAGTCTTTGAATGAATACCAATCTGCACATGGATAGTGTGACACTGCACAAGGACATGCAAAGAACAGCAACTGCTGGGGAAAGAACAATTACTGGGAAGCAATAAGCAAAACAGAGGTGACACAGGGTAGGGAATCATTAGAGTTTTAACAGCCAAAGTGGAGAGTCCAAATACCTCTTCAAATAACTAGGACTCTCATCTGAGATCCCAGAAGGATCAAGATTTGTAAACCACAAGGCTAATCTTGCCCTAGAGGAGTGTGATCTTAAAGAGTGACAACCTGGGGGGACCTCAAGGCCCTTTCAGGGAATCAACAAAGTCACAACTATTTTCCTAATAATACTAAGATGTTATTTGCCTTTTTCAGGATCATTCTCTTATGAGTATACAGTAGAGTTTTCCAGATGCTATCTGACATGGGATGTTGTAAAAGGTTTAATGAAGAAACATATATGAGACTCCAACTGTCTTCTCTTAAGTGAAACACTAAAGAGATCCATAAAAAAAGTAAAACAATAACATTCTTCTCACTATTTTCCCTTGTTTGGGAAGAGACGGTAATTTTTCATTTAAAAATGTTACTTCTGTTAACATAATAGGTTATTATTTAATTTTAGATGAATAAATGAATACCTTAAAATTCCTCAGCTATAATTTTTAGTTCATAATTAAATAAAATAATTAAATAAATTAATTAAATAATTTGGTAAATATTTACATA